AATTCCTACTGGGGTCACATCACCTGGCTGTGTGGCTGGCATATAGTATTCCACTTGGGTAGCCACGTTGACACACTATGTCAATGTGTCAGGAGTCGTGTTGCCCCTCCTGACATGGACAACTATCTATGGCCTTAATGCCCTCAGGAATATTCGGGTCTTATCTGCTTCGTGGGAGCTGCGGTGGAGCATAGCTGTAAGAGATCTGTAAGTTTCGCCGACAATGCCAACACATCCATTGACCCCTGTGTGAGGCCATGAAGCTCATCCCAATATCTGGTCATCCTGCTAGGGTTCAAGTATTTGTCATTGAACTCATATGAGAATTGCTCCCATGTCATGGTCGCGGTGTTGACCCTCTGCTTCACTGTCTCCCACCAGATCCTTGCACTCTTCCTTAAGCTATAGGATGCACATCTGACCTTCTCGTTCTCCCTCAATTCCAGTCCTTCTGCTAGGCCTTCCACTTTCTTCAACCAGACCCGAGCTTTGAGGGGATCAGCCCCACCCTCAAAGTCTTATGGGTGTGCCTTCTTCCATGTGATCAATAATGGCTCTCGCCGGACCACTTCATTCCATCCTGCTTCCTGTTGATCATTTCCTCCCCCACTGTTATGGTGCTCATTCTCATGTTGATGGTTGTTATTATTGTTTCTGCTACCTCTCTCTGCTGTTAGGCGCGAAATGACAATGTTTTGATCATGAATTTGTCTATGAAGTTCCGCTACAACACGAGCAAGCTCCGCATTACTGATTGATGAACCATCCTCGTTACCTTGGCCCTCTCGTGACATTCTGGTGTGAGAGAGTTAATTTAACAACTAATGAATCCACCCTCACACACATAAATTTTCAACATTAATACATAGTTCACTTATATGAAATTATGGTTATTCTTAAATAATCAAAATTACTAACTTACCTGAGAGATGTCGAGCGGTACGTGGCAATGGATGGAGCTACGGAAGGACCTGGGCTCTGATACCAAACTGTAATGACCGTCCCCAAACGGCCATTACCATACTTAACATAAACAAGACTCAATATACAAAGCGGAATATTACAGAATACAAAGTCTCATATGAAACTTTATTTCTTATATACATAAGAAAACTCCATAACTGAAATATCAAAGACCAACAAAAATCACGCTTAACACAAAGTCATCACACCTGATTAGAATTTTTAAAACAAAACATAAAACAACTCATAAAAGTGTCATAGTAAAACAACAAAACGTGAGACACAGCCAGGTCGTTTCCGTTAACCCATCCACAATCTCGCCACCTGGCTCGAACATTCTCTCAGACTTCCATTCTTCATTCATTACCTATACATGAGACACAAGACAACAGAAGTCTCGTAAGCAAAATTTGCTTAGTAAGTGACCATTACATCCACTAAAATAACAGAGTCTTAGCTAGCCATAATTAGATACATAAGCTAGAATACTCCACACATAGCATATTCATATCATGTAAAGCATAACTTCATGTAACGAAATCTAGAAGATTTCCTTATTTATTATTCTTTCTTCCTATCTTGCTACTTGACTTAATGGGCCCGTAGCTCGTGTCCTGGCCCCTCTCTAATGACATTGGGTAGCTAGCCCGCAGCCATCAGAAGTAATCCCGAGACTCCCCGCGGAAGGAGATCCCGCTCCGTTCAGCTCAGGTAATTACTTGGGGGAACGGCTACCTTAGAACATTTCTTATCATTCATTAGATATCATTATCATCACAACTTTCATTCATTGTTGGATTCCATATAAATCCAACCTAACCATAAACATAGAACTTGGATACCTTACACCGATAACTCAACAAGTTCTCCATCAACATCACCTATCAATATATACACGTAACATGGCATTCACATAATATCATACCATACAATTTCAAGTATTCGAGCCAACCTATCCAATTCATAGGTAGCTAGACTTCCATTTCTTTTCATTTCAAACTGTCATGTATAGGTGGTGATGACTTACCTGATTCACATGGAGTTTTTACCCTTGATCGTTGCTATAAAGCGTCCACGGGCAACGGTTCTTCGATTGAGCAACTATATACATTGTTTACATTTGATCAACAAAACCTCATGTTTTTAACCAAAACCTTAAAACTTAGGCATAAGGGGAATTCAACAAACAACCAGCTCCCGAACATGATAGACTTCTAAAACTCCTAATCTCAACCGGTCAAATTTTCGGGTAACTAGCCAACCAACTCCTGATTGAACTTCATACTCAAGAGTCAACAATAACTAACCAATAATAATACTATCAAGAGTTCTACACACCTAATTAAAATCAGATTATATATATCTATTTAGAATCAACCTATACCTAGTAAGAAATTTCCTCAAATTCTTTCAACAACTTAGTAAAATTTTGGAATAATTAGTTATACAAGAACAAATTGAAGTTTGTTAAATCCAGGCTAAACAACAACTTCAAAACAATCTTACTATCAAGAAAATCCATTAATTTTCCTAGAATTAACCCAAAGTTCACTCAACCCTAGTTAAATCCCAAAACAAGAACTATGGATCAAATATAGAAGAATTCTTCATGTAAAATGTAAAAATCTTACCAAGTGATGATCTTTGATGAAGAATATGTTTAATTTGAGCTTAAATCACCCTAGAAATGGTTTGAGATTGATTTGTAGAGAGAAGGACGAGCTGGGATCGATTTTGGGTTGAAAAGGGGTTTTTTTTGCGCTTAAAAACGTTTTTGACCGACACAGCCAAAACCTACCGAACTGGCGCCGGTTTGCACTTGAACGGCGCTGGTTTCCCTTCCATTCTAACACCTTAAAGTTTCTGTTTTGGAACGACGCCGGTCTGGGTCCAACCGGCGCCGGTTTGAGGTCAATCGGGTGCCGAAAACGTCATTTTCCGTCCTAAACCGACCCCGATTGTTGCTGATCCCATCCTAGACCCCCAATGACCTTTTTAAACTATATTTTAAACACTCAAATACTATTTAACATGACAAATAACTTGATATACCATTACATTCAAAAATACGAATGATTATTACGGTGTAGTTTCGTTGTTCATCGGATACCGTCGTCTGTCACGTTCAAACATAATACAAGAATGTAAGTTGAAATATCATTATCACAAAGTTAATACTCACATGCTATCCCTACACTTCACACATATAGCACTCATACATAAGTTAAAACATGATCATATATAACATTAATTAATGCATAAGAAGTAGAAAAAGTACGGACGTTACAACATAGGTATCCCAAATTGATTGAGCCGATTAGTGACTTTGAAGGTTTAATGCACCAAACTCCCTCGTGATATAGAAATTCAGCGCATTAGCCCCTTGTGATTTGAAAAATGCATCAAACCCCTTGTGTTTTTATTAATCATGCACAGAACCCCTTATATGAATAAATTTAATGATTTTGAAATCACTTTTCCTAATATTCTGATTGAATATGCAAGTAAATATGTCAAAATCTCTAAATCATACAAAAATGTTAATCAATTTTCTTTTATTTGACAATTGAATTTGTTCTTAGAAGGGATTTTGCGCATAATTAATTAAAACACAAGGAAGTTTGACGCATTTTTTAAATCACATGAGACTAATGCGGCGAATTTCAATATCAGATGCGGTTTGGTGCATTAAACCTAAGCATTCCATTGCGTCCATACACCCCTATGCTCTACCAGAATTTCTACATAAATCTAGCACTTTTTTTGTGTTTATCGATTGGGATTTGGGAATCCTTCAAAAAAAAAGTCACGTCGATGTATGGTACACTTTTGTAAATCGTGATGTCAATGTAATCATACTAACTAACATCACTTGTGACGTTCAAGTATGAGACAATTTAATATTTATACTAACATCACTTGTGACGTTCAAGTATGAGATAATATAATACTCCGTATTTTAAACTTGGAAGACTTAATCATGATTTGATAGACTTAATCAAAGTGAACATATTTTGATTAAGCGTCCATTTGGCTAGTCATATTTTCATTTTATTTCATCGATCAACTTTGATTGATTATGTGCTGAGTTATGTAATAAGTAAAAACAACAAGGGGGCAGCTGCACCCAATAAACTTCCATCAGTCCCTATTATTTATTAGTAATTTATTAGTGAATTTTAAAATCTCAAGTGTTTGACCCCAATAAAAAAATTGGCTGCCCCCGTAACCTATGTTGTAAAAACCGGATCAGTGAGCGACCCAGTCAAGTGACTGGATCACGGGTCAACCCGGACCCGATGGGTCAATCCAGTCAACATCGGAAAACCGGTCAACGATTATACGTCTATATAATAATAAACCTATAATTATATACAAAATCATAATAAAAATTAGTTATCATTCATAATAAATTAATAATCAACTAACAATACTACTTATTAAGCATTTAATACACTCTCAGAATATTTCAAAGTATAATTTTGATCCTATAAAAATATATAATGATATTTTTATTTGTATTATACATTTATATTATAATTTGGCATGATTTTCATTCTTAAATAAATATATAAATATATTACTAAAAATCTGATAAATGAAATTATAATAGATCTCTTCCAAAAGATGTATATAAGTGCGTAGAATTGTGATGTATTTCGCCAAAGTTTGTGATATTGTAATACTACAATAGTTCTACCTTTGTGCTACTAACATTGGAACATGAGAAGGTATCACGGTTATTAAGAAAAGTGAGATTATGTGATTGATATTGAATTGATAAAGTAAGAATAAAATAAAACCAATCTAGAATTACACAAATTTTACCAAATTTACTATGAGACAAACTTAGTGGAACGAACCGAAAAGGAAAGATTAGACAATCTTAGCGGAACGAAGAAAGTACCGTATTAATTTTTGTTCTTCTCGAGCATTATTTGTGTCACTTTTAAAGTTCAATTGACTAAAGTTATTGTAAATAATCATTTTAAATATTAAATATAATTTTTGTGATAATTGAATATATTTAGCCAATTCAATCATTTTAACCCGAGTTTCATCCATTTGAATAAACAAGGTCTAAATGTTGGGCTGTTGGCTATAAATAAATACCGGTGGTTATTTGATCTCAAAGTGAAACCATTCACAAAGAAATCCATCAATAAACTGCCCTTTGCCTGCGCACTACATACAAAAATGAATCTTTTAGTTGTAGCAAGACCGCCGCCAAGCAGGCCTCTTTTAGCTTTCATTTCTTGTCTGGTCCTCCCCATAATATTGCTATCTGTGCATGTTTCTTCTCATTCTTCCTTTGATGAGGGAAAGGGTCTGCTGAACTGGAAGTCCACTTTTCAGAACCAGACCAACTTCTTGGGTTCATGGAAGCTTTCAAGCGGTAACAGCCCATGCAGCGGCGACAACAGTAGTTGGTCTGGAATTAAATGCATTAATGGAAATGTCATCGGTTTGGACTTGAGAAACTCAAGTATCAACGGTACCCTCAACAGTTTCCCTTTTGAGTCTCTCCCAAATCTAAAATATTTAGATATCGCCTACAATCACTTCTATGGAATCATACCACCCCAAATTGGGAATCTATCCAAACTCATCAATCTTAACATCGCGATCAACAATCTTAGTGGAGCCATCCCACCCCAGATTGGCAACCTGACCAAACTCGAGAGTCTTTACCTGGCAGTTAACAATCTTACTGGAACCATCCCATCTGAGATTGGCCTTTTAACTAGTCTCCAAATCCTCTATCTCTTTTCAAATTCTTTGAGTGATCAGATTCCGGTTGAAATGGGCAACTTGACATCTCTTGTTGAACTTCTTCTGTTTGATAATAATCTTGACGGTCCAATACCACTTTCACTGGGAAAGTTGACCAACTTGAAATCCCTACTTCTCTATAACAACGCTCTTTCTGGACCCATTCCTCCAGAGCTCGGGAACCTGTCCAAACTCACGCAGCTTGTCCTTTTAGCCAACAATCTTAGCGGAATCATCCCACCCCAGATTGGCAACCTGGCCAAACTCATCCAACTTGAACTCTCAGCCAACAATCTTAGTGGAGCCATCCCACCCCAGATTGGCAGCCTGACCAAACTCAAGGGGCTTTTCCTGGGGGTGAACAATCTTACTGGAACTATCCCACCTGAAATTGGCCTTTTAACTAGTCTTGAAACTCTCGATCTCTCTTCAAATTTTTTGAGTGGTCAGATTCCGTATGAAATGGGCAACTTGACGTCTCTTGTTGAGCTTTATCTGGTTTTTAACAATCTTGACGGTCCAATACCAGCTTCACTGGGAAACTTGACCAACTTGAGCTCTTTGCAGCTCTACAACAACACTCTGTCTGGACCCATTCCTCCAGAGTTCGGGAACCTACATAACCTTTCTGTGCTTTACTTGGATAGCAACCAGCTGAAGGGGCCCATCCCGGCCGAGCTCGGAAACCTCTCACGACTGAAGGAGTTGACTATTTGCATGAATGAGTTGAGTGGCGAAATCCCATCTTCGTTTGGTCAACTGCAGAATCTCACATATCTTTACCTCTTCCAGAATAAACTTAGTGGGAGAATCCCACCAGAGTTGGGAAGCTTAAAGAACCTCCAGGAACTTCAAGTGCACCAGAATCAGCTCACTGGCGAAATCCCGCCTTCCATTGGCGGTTTGCAGAATTTAGTATATTTAAACCTTTATAAAAACCAAATCTCTGGCACTTTACCAGACACTATTTGTCAAAGTGGGAAACTTGAATACTTGATACTGAGTAACAACACACTCGGGGGCCAGATTCCAACCGTCTTGGAGAACTGCTCAAGCCTAATCTATATTGATTTGGATAACAACCGGTTCACTGGAAAGCTCTCTGATTCTTTTGGCATCTATCTCAACTTGAAGCGTATGCGACTGAGCAACAACCAACTTCACAGTGAACTTCCTCAAACCCTGGGATCTCTAGAGTCTTTAATCGTTCTTGATATGTCGAAGAATAACTTCACTGGACCGATACCCACATCTATGGGAAGCTTATGGAACATATCCTCATTGAACCTGAGCCACAACTCTCTCAGCGGCAGAATCCCATCTTCCTTCGGAAATCTTACTAAATTGGTACAGGTTGATTTGTCCTACAATAACCTTACATGTCAGGTTCCTACCACCGCAGTTTTCAAGAATGCCACGCTCAAGGGAAATAATAAGTGTTTATGCGGGGATAATAATAATGGCGACATTCATCCTTGCAGCAAAAAAAGTTTAAATGGATGTGTTTGCTAGATCAGGCAAGTCATTAAAATAAATAAATAATGGCCTACGCTCATGCATCCACCTCCAGTTCCCATCATCTTCCTTAATTTACCTTTCACATATACACGTGCTATACTTATACGTAGTACTATGGAGTATTTGTATTCGCGCTCCGCTTCATGAATATGTAGTGTAGGTGTGTTTTGTCTTCTTGTAAGTTGCTTATATGCACTATCAATGCATGGGTTTGTCTCTTTAATTCTAGTAACAATAAAACTATGCATTTATCTCTTACGTTCAAAGTTTTTCTCACAATAAAATTTCCAACCATTACAATGACATATTTCACAGCGGTGGCGGCTAAGTGACACCAAAATCCGACGATGACATAACAATCTGGCCGCCATGATATCATTTTTTTCAAAGTTATTACCTTTTGTCCATACGTAAAAATAGTCATTTTTTTATTTAGTTTCAATGTAGTCATATTTAAGGGAAAACACCGATAATTTTAGATTTTGTACGAAGTATCATTCTTTCCAAATATTTTTTTATTAACTTCTTTCAAAATATATCATAACAATATTTATTTTCAAAACTTTTTCAATCAAATATGGAAAAAAATGTGCCGTAAGGGGAGCAAAGTTTACTATACTGACCTCATTTCAATAAAAAGATGCGATGTCGTTTTGTGAACTCTCTGAATGGAACATACCTGGGTTGAATTTGAGATAAACTCTCTCAACTTTAGAATCTCATCTTCCTTATGAGCCAGATTTCCCATTTCTACGCGTAGAGACAAGCAGACTAGCTACAAAATATCATTGATTAGTAACCATGTTTGTCACTCATAATAAAATAAATAGTGACAAAATAGATTACTCACGAACATAGTCACTAAAAAGTGTATGGTGCCTTATTTGGTTAGTGTGAATAATTTACCCAACTCCAAATTTGGGTGATGTATTATTTTATAATAATTTATAACTGATAAATTTAAGTAACTCTTAATCAATAAAACTAAACTTAAGAGCCCGTTTTGTAATCCCTATTTTCAACTTATCAGCCTTATCAACCAACTTTTTTACTAAGCACGTAATTTTTGACTTCGCGCGCTGAATTGAGTAATAATCAAAATAAATAACCTTGGAGTTACGTTTCTAGCTGAAGTTAATGTCGAGGAGCATTTTAGCTATTTTTCATGTAATTTTTTCTTAATTTTATTAATAAAATATATTTTAAATACAATTTCTTCATAGTTCAGCAGATTCAGCCAATTTAGCTAGATTTTCATAAATTTAACATGTTCAACCGATTCGATCAATTTAAGAGTTACCAAACGGATCCTAAATTTTAATTAAGGATGTGCGGATTCAAATATATTACCACTAAAATAAAATAACTATTTGACATTTGAGATAAAGTAACTCAAAGACTCAAATACTGCACAATAGCATTAGATTTAGGCTAAAGGGTCAAATAGGTACATGAACTAACTTAAAATGTTCAATTAGCCCCTTATATAGGAGGTTCTGCTCGGCCGTCGCCAATTGGGGCGGTTCCCGGTGGAGTTTTTTGATGAAATTTTTTTAGCATCTTGTTCATTAAGTCTAGTTTAGCCATACCAAATTTCAGCTAAAAATTCAACCGGGAAGGCAGTCAAAAGATTTTTTGAAGATAACTTCGTAGTTAAACAGCGTAGTACATTTCGGAAAATCATTTGACTACTTTCCCGATTTCATTTTTAGCTGAAATTTGATATGGGCAAACTAGACTTAATGAAAAAGATGCTCAAAAAATGTCATCAAAAAATGCAATCGGGAACCGTCCCAATTGGCGATGGTCGGACAAAACCTCCTAAATAAGGAGCTAATTGAACACTTTAAGTTAGTTCATGTACCTATTTGACCCTTTAGCCTTAGATTTATAATTAAAATAGAAGAAACGGCATAACAAGCAATTCCTTTGCTATCATTTTCTTCAATGGTCGCTCCAAAAATCATTCGAATTGAGCTTCTATTGACTTTTGATTGAATTTGTACGAATATACTACAGTATTTGATAAGAGTGTCCTCAGGCTATCCCAGCCATCCACAACAAGGATATGTATTGAGGTGGATGTTTCTATTAGCCTACCATCCAAAATCTGGATTGGTCATGGCTCTACTGGTTTTTTTCCAAACTGTCACCTACGAAGAAGTCCCTCTGTTCTGCTATTGTTGCAAAAACTTCGGTCACATTATCAAAAACTGCAAACACAGGAGTTCTGGCTCAGGACCTATTTCATCCAAGCCCCCTATCTGAAAAATGGCTTCCAAAAAATCTTTCCAGCGGTGATCCTACCCTGCAGCCCTTGATAATCCTGGGGTGTTCTCCAATGATCCAATAGAGGAGAAACACCCTTCAGACCCAAGATAAAAATGAAAATAATGATATCATTATCTCTGGAACTGATTTTGAGTCTGAAGTCCCTGTCAATTACATCAGTGCAAATGTTCTGGAATCTCCTACTAAAGAGCATGATGTTGCCTTAACAACTAAGCCCCCGATTATTGTATGATAGGACTCCGGCAGAATAGCACTAATAATAATAAGAGTAATAATAATATTAGAATAGTTAGTATAAATAGATGTGGAGGGGAGAATAGAAAGGAGGTTGGAATTATCATTTGGGCTTGGGATTTGGAAGTTGGAACTGTCTTGTATTTTCTCTCTATTTTCTGTAATACGAACCCTTTCAATGTAATCATATCTCTGTTCTTCATCTTGTTTCTTGTAATTCATTGTGAATTAGCTAGGAACCTATCATTGGTATCAGAGAGACGTTCCTGCCACCTGTCACTGGTTGATACGCGCGTAACGATGGAAGAAAGACTGGAAAGTCTGGTACGCGACCGCAAGGAGATGCGGAACAATATCGAGGGGTTGCTGAAAGATAGCGACAAGGTGAGAAGAGATATCGCTGAGTTGCGCAAACTGATTCTGCAGCAGAACGCTCAACGTGAGGGAAGAAGATCAAGAACCTCAAGGAGCAACGCTCAACATGACTGTCCTCACCGATCGTCTCAATCGCTAAGTTCGCAGGTCCCATCGCGAGAAACTTCTCCCCGTTCAGATGCTCCATCGCAGAACTCTTCGCAGGTTCTTTCACCGGCTCTCAGTTCGCGTCAAAATGCGAATCGATCGAGGGAAGAATTTCCCAGTTCGCAGTTGCGAACAGTTCCTCCCAGTTCGCAGACGCGAACAGTGCTTCTATGTTTGCAGATTTCGTCGAGTTCGCAAAGTTTGTCGCTGGGTTCGCAAGATTTGTCTCAAGCGCTAACAGTTGCTACCGGTTCGCAGATGTCATCGCAAGCCACTTCTCCCAGTGCGCTAGCTTCGACATGTCCACCTGAATCATCCGTTTCAGATAACATAACCATCGTCGCGTCAGGAAAAGGATTTACAGGGGTTCTACTTCCGGAAATCAATACTGAGTTGAAGCAGGCGGCACCAACAGTTACAAAAAATAGCGAAGTTGACATTCTTTACCATCAAGAAACAAATAGTCCAGCACCCACTGATGTTGCCCTGGTACTGACCAACGATGATACAGGAGGTATGCTGGTATACTAGGCTGTAATCCTGAGGAATTCAAATCTTGGATTGATATAAGTCTTGAACCTGGACTGGATATTCTAATGAATGTTGTGCACCATCAATTAGAAAAAGAAATTTTGGAAAGGCTGAATGAGTTTGATAACTTCAGATTTGATGGTGTTACTTCTATTAAGTGTATTCAAAAGTGGCTGGAAGTAAGTATGACTGGAAATAGGAAGAAAAAGGTGAGTTACACTACTGATGGTTATGCTGACATGTTCCTGATGTTTGGCCTGTGGCACATGGCCAGTACATCAACCTTGCCTATTTTAGATCCACATGTTTCATCTGATGGGACCAAACTTACATTTGGAAAACTTAGTGAGCTTAAGGGTAAAAGTAGGACTGGTCCAGAGGCACAAGAGAACCATGATTACCCATTTTCTGGGATATCAGATGCAAAAGTTCCACTTGGGGTAGAGTTTTCACTTGGAGGTCTTGTAGCCTGGTTGGAGGGTGTGTGCAGAGAAAAGTTTGCTATTAATGATGAAGAGGCTGAAGCAACAATGCACAATCAACAATCAACTTTTGGGATGCTGCACTCTGTTACTGAGTTTCAAGATATTTTTACCCCAAGGTTGAAGATGAACTTCATGCTCCCTAATATTCAGACTATATCTCAAATGATCATCAATGCTATTGTCCATCTATTTCTGTATCTTGCAAAAATGCAAGATGAATGGGCAAGGGAGTGCTAGGATTGGCTTCATACATAAGCTAGCAGAAGGGGAGGTACCTAAAAGTGAAGCATTCGAACTATCAAAGTGGTTTGTGGATTCGAGGGTTGAGCCGAGCCCAGCAGTTGAATTGATTAGCAAGTTATATGCAAAAGAGAACTATGGTGTGCAAGGTTTGAACCAACACTTTCAGAGATGGAAGAATGCTAAACTGGAGTGGTATAAGGGTGGAAACAAGGGGTACGGACTGCAAAATTTTGAAGGAGTATTTGATATGTGTTTTATCATTGAATATATTGGAAGGGAGGTGCTGGATGTGCATGCCTATGAGGCACACCCAAAAGAAAATGCAGAAAAGGGTCACAAGCAATTTTACTTTATCAACCTGGAGGACTCTAAGGCTGCTGAAGTGAATGCAGAGTCAATAGGTGATGTTGTGCTTCTTCAATGGGTTAATGGTTTATTTGAAGAGTTCATAAGTAAGCACATGGAGTATTCTGCCACCAGGATTTTGCATCTACTCCTACTGGCAGTGAAGAACATGAAAATGAAGGTTCAAGTACCGGAGTTGCAGGTTAAGAATTCAGTGAGATATTGGGAAGGGAGAGGCGCCAGGATGAAGATAAAGTTGAAGATCAAGGCGGATTCCTATCACACACCTTGAGGACAAGGTGGATGTTTAAGGGGGGAGATATGATAGGACTCCGGCAGAATAGCACTAATAATAATAAGAGTAATAATAATATTAGAATAGTTAGTATAAATAGATGTGGAGGGGAGAATAGAAAGGAGGTTGGAATTATCATTTGGGCTTGGGATTTGGAAGTTGGAACTGTCTTGTATTTTCTCTCTCTATTTTCTGTAATACGAACCCTTTCAATGTAATCATATCTCTGTTCTTCATCTTGTTTCTTGTAATTCATTGTGAATTAGCTAGGAACCTATCATTGTACTAGTACATTTTTTGGAGCTTAATGCCCCTGCCACTACTATTAACCCACGTGCAAAGGCTCTGGATATTACTGATCACATCAACAAACTATGTGTTAATGTCCCCTTGTTCAATGATGCAAGAATTAAAAGTAGGGTAGAAGAGTCACCACTGGCTCCCCCTACAATACCCTAGCTGAGTATAATCCCTCTTAAAACACCCCCTCTACAGAATGGCAAACCACCCAATCCACAAAATTCTTGGTCTATTATGAATCCCGACCCCAAAACAACCCAAGGATAATGAACTGGATAATCTATCCCTTATAGATATACCGGTTGAAGACGATACTTTAGATGATTTCACTATGATGGTTTAGAGGAAAAATAAAAGAATCATTTCATTTTCATTTTCATTTACCCCAGTGCCGCAAAGGCTCCCACCTACGGTGGGGTAAGGGGGGGTCGGATGTACGCAGTCTTACCTCTATACTAAAGCACAGAGAGACTGTTTCCGGATGACCCATAGTGAAAATCGCGTCCAAAATTGCATGGGCTGAATGCTGCTTCATAACAAAGAAGCGCAGACAGTTTAGTGAGCCATTTTGCTTTATTCCATCATAATCTCAAGCCAAAAAATAATGAATCTTTGGCTCCATTGCAAATGATGGAAAAGGGAAAAATAAATTCAGGTGCCATAAACCAATAATAGAGGATACAATCAACACATGCTAACAAGAAGCAAAGCCAAGGCTAGACAAATAGAGTCTGAGTTCTAGGTCTATCCCGAATAACACAAATATGAATTGCCTCAGAAACTGGTGCAAGGGCTGGCCTAGTACCGCCAATCACATCCAGAGAAGAACATTTACCCTCCATACATTCAAAGGGCGGTCAAATTCCATTAAAAATACAACAAAGACCTGTCAATGCAGGCCGGTCTGCCCAAAATTTTGAACTACACAGTAAACTAGTTGGATCTGTAACTTTTTACATTTTTGCATCTGTATCAAAATTTTTGAACTATTTTTTTGGAGATGTTCTACACTTCATGAAGAACATGCTAAAAAAATCATCAAAACGACATTGGCCAGACGGCGGTTCTCGTCAGTCCGGACTGACCACATCAGCACTATGTATACAGAAGTGTATACATAATAGAAAGCTAAAAAGGGAAGAAAAACCAGAAGTGATTTTCAGAATAAATCCCAAAAGAAAAAGAAAACACACACAAAAAGAGGAAGGACTATACACTGTTCCGACAATATGTGATATAGTTTTAGATCAAAATATGCAAAATAGACTTTATTTATGGAAATGGAAGAAACAGAGATGTAGTTAGATAGTTAGTTATTGAAGAGAAGAAGTAGATCTTGTACATACCACTATTTGTTGTAGAAATGGTATGATAGCCTTTGTACATTAATTATGATGATAGATGTTGAAAAGAGCACACTAGTTTCTTCTTCAACCCATTCATTGCTATGTTGTAAAAACCGGACCGGGAAGTGACCCCGACAAATGACTGGGTCACGGGTCAACCCGGACCCGGCGGGTCAACGACTAGTAAATCCGGTCAACACGAATACATATAATTATATAAAAACTAAATTCGTAAATAGAAAACTTATATCTCTTCATAATTTAATATTGATAAGTAATGTCAAAAAACTATTGTATTAAAGTATATTGGTTTTAACAAAATTTAAAATACATTTGTGTATAGATGGATGATAAATATGAACATAATACCAATTACAAAGTAAAGAAAATTAAAAACTAAAGATGACATACAAAATGAGGAAGTATATAAATAGCATTTGTTTGTTTGTATTATATTTTTTATTATAAATTAATTAACTAACTATTCAATTAATTAAAGCTCAATTAAAATGTTCCAGATTCGGAAGGTATAAGAATAGCTGAATAGGTAAGCAACCGAAATTACCAACTAGATAGTGTAGCTTATTGGTTGTCAGGCCGAAAATGCAGCAGCGGACGTGAGTTCGAAATTTTCGAATCCCACGGCCAACGTCCTTCTGCGGTTTTTGGCATTTCCCGGGTTTGTAACGGGTCGGGTCCGTCCCTGGTCTCAGCGGGTCATCGGTTAAATCCGGTTTTAACCACATTTGTGATTTGATGCCCGGCCGCACCGGATTAATGGTGGGGTTCTGGGTCGGACCGGCTGGTCCGGTTCTTACAACATAGATTCATTGAAGAATGGATTGCTGAGCAATACTGACTTTTATTGAGCATCTCTATACCAGCTAAACTCAAACACAATTCTAATTCTTTCCACAATTACTATATCCTAGAAAAGTTCCATAGGTTTCCACAAGCTTCACAAAGTTTAGACCAATATGGCATGATTTTTTATCTTTTCCTAATAATCTGGCTAGGCGCATAAAGGAAAAAAATGGGCTACTTAGTCACTCATATTGAAGCAAGCTGGAATCCTTTCAATGTCTCAACTCTCAAAAACGAAGGTGGATCACTGGTGCAACTGTGCAAGCTTAGCTACCCTAACAATAAGCTTAATATGGCTGTTCAGAAAGGCACTACTCAAATTATGGGCAGTTAATTCTGCATGACCATGCTGGCAGCCTAAAGGCTGCTATTTCCCTCCCTTTGGCTACAGGGGAGCCTCTGAACTGTTTGTACTGCAGGAGAAAGTAAGGTGGTGGAGCAGCAATGGTTTTACACAATCAGAAAAAGTGCATCCTAAGCTCTATTTCTAGATCTCTTCTAAGAATTATGTACTAACATATTTCTAGCAGAAAACAAACACTTTCTTTAGTTCTTCTTGACAACCCAAATCAAATACGGAGTACTATTGCAATGCTCCAGAGCATTTTAACATCAGTTGAACTCAAATTAAATGCTCCAGAGCATTTGAATAGCAAATTATGAAACCCAGTACCTCCACACATTGAAATCGGCTTCAGAATCACATATGGAAAGCTTTAACCAAGATTAAAAATGAATAAGGAAAAAATGAATTCCTAAATGTAACCACAAATTTCCTATAAATTCCATGTTATTTATTTATAAGGGAAAAAAGTACTGCATAGAGCTAGAAATCCAAGAATTATTTACTGAATGTTTGGGCAGATCATTCAACCAGAGGATTTGTGGAGAGCAAACTTACCTAAAAATTCAGGCGAGATCAAAGTTTGCTGAATTATGGTGTGACGGATAGCGAAGGTATGGCTTGAAGCAGATAGCAGAGGATCATATTTGGAGCAGATAGCTAGGGTTCTGTATAAGCGATGTTTGCTGAATTATCGTCTTCAGGGTTCGTATAGCTGGCTGCAGTTTAGGCAAGGATACAATAGTCACTCAATTATTTAACATTCAAAACCTCCCAATTCGGAGGGACTAAAAAATTCAGATTGTGGAGGGTTTACCAGGATTACAAAACACCTTCAAAACATTTCCTCCCAGTTAAATTGATTTTGCACCCTGTTTTATCAGTTAAATTGGAGTTTTAATGCCATTTTAAAAAAAATGCACCCCATCCATTTGGAAATCTGTTAGTTTCTGAATTCACTGTCAGAGAGGAAACAAATAGTGAAAGAGGAGGAGTTTCCGGAAGAGGAGGGAGCGCATGAAGAATGCCATTAGTGCCCATCACCATAGTTTCAAGCTTCGAGTTCATCGCCGTCCATCCAATCTGCATTACCTCGGTGAACTTATGCTCACCCTGGGAAGGAAATTAGCAGCTCCGTGCAGCTAGGAGTCCAGGATCAATAGTCAGCCGGCAAGTCAGTGATGCCCATCATTAGCAAAACTTAATGAAACCAATGGATCAGAAACTACGTATACACTCACACTATTATTTAATCTGTGCAGTATCTGAGAAGAAAATTAAATTTTGTATGAATATCAATCATCATCATATACTCCTATGTTCCCTTGTAGTGATTTACTCCGTATTTTTGTGTCATTATGTGTGCATATGGGTGTGTATGTGTGTGAATAATGTATATGGGTGTGTATGCATAACTGATCCATATACGCAATAATAGAGTTTATGGACTTGCTAATTTTCTTCTGAACTACAATCCTACAAACATAGCCTCCACTCCTCCAGTCAGACAATGTAGACTTATATGTAGACTCAAGCCACTACAATCGTTTAGTCGAGTTGGTGGTTTTCTTCTGGGCATGATCCTAGCTTAACGGAAGCAAATGGAAGTAGTTCCCATGAAATGGAAATGAAGCTGCTGGATGGCTGCCTCCTACATTGATCCATCCTTCTCCAACCCGGCGGCCTTCCTTCTCACTTTGTCTATTTCCAGCCAACTAATGACAAGTAGATGAGGTACTAACCAAGGGTGCAAATATTAATGTTTTTCAAAACAGGGTGCAAACTCCAATTTCACTAAAACAATGGGTGTAATATCAAATTCACCCTTTTTAAAACTTCCAAACATAAAAACAAGGGTCATCAACCCTCGCGTGCCTCCCCTCCCCCCAAAATCCAACTCCAAAACACACCCTAATGTATTATGTATACATTTTAGAGTCATGTCTCTGGTTGCCTCTGAAACAGACAACCATCATTTAGCGACGGATTATTTAAAGGCACTCTAGTGACAACCACTGAATTGCTTCTAATATCGTTAGAGGCTACTTTCCTATTTATAGAGGCAGCTATGTCCCTGCCTCTATAAATGAATCTTGTAGTGCCAACAATTAAATTGTTGTTATGATTATCCACAGTCCCATTCTCATCTTTATTATTTGCAGTCTCTTTTTCATCATTATTCTCAATATCACAAATGACATCTATATTGTCATTGTCAACACTATTTGAGGAGGAAGGATTTGTCTTTACATACCGAACCATAGAGCTAGAAGCAGATTTATATAATCAAATATCTTATCAACTGATTTTTTCTCTTTGTACATCTGAAGTCAAATTTTCATTTACCCGTCATGATCATACACTTTTAGCAACATCTTCAGGCATGAGTATATATATATCCAAAAAAATCCAGCTTGAACATATCCGGAACAGATATTTGTAGCAAAATGTATCACCAGAAATCCCCACAAGAACATAGGCCACCCTTGAAACAGTGAAACCTGTGGCAATCCCTAACAGTAATCTCACGTCCAGTTATAACAGTAATAAATTTGATAGCATTGTGACAGTCACCGCATATCCTCAAGTTTTTAAGGACGAGTATAGGCACCCCTTCTTTTGTTGATAAGAGCCCAAATGCAACAGCCAACTTCTCACTGTGATGCCTCAGGCATCTCTCCTTCTCTTCCTCACGAATGCCCCCATCATCGTCTCTAACGAGGACCCACTTTAAATCTGCCACATACCCTGCTTGCTTCATCTTTTCTGACATCTCTTCCCAAAAGACATATATCTCCTTTATCATCGGATGAGAATGATCTTCCGCTACGAATGTGTGGATCCTCTTGTCCACCTCTATCCAACTATGACCCGGTTTCTTTTTAACCCCCTTAACACGCATTTGTTTTCTTATGGCTGCTACTTCTTCCCATCTTCCAGCACTGGCGTGGATATTTGCAAGCATGACGTATGGAGCTGCATTTGTGGGGTCCAGCTCAAGACAGTGTTTGGCTGCTTTCAATGCTAGCTCTGTGTCTCCATGGATTCTACAAGATCTAAGCAATGTTCCCCACCCGATAGTCCCAGGATTGTATGGCATGCTGTCTATAAGACTCTCTGCCTCTTCAAGATTTCCAGTTCTCCCTAAAAGGTCAATCATGCATAAATAATGCTCTACTTCTGGTTTGATTCCTAATTCCTCAGTCATCATACCAAAATACTTCTTACCCTCCTCAACTCTTCCAGTGTGTGCACATGCAGATAGGACCGAAATGAATGTTATACTTGTGGGCCCCATGCCACTATTATTACTATTCCCTCTGAGCATCTTCTCAAAGAGTATGAGGGACTCCATGGCATGCCCGTGCTGAGCATAGCCTGCGATCATGGAATTGAAGGACACACTGTTGTGTTCGGGCATTCTGTCGAATATTTTCATGGCATCTTGTAGATTTCCACACTTGGAATACATTGTGATAAGAGCATTACTGACAGTGAGGGTTCTGGTTGCTGGGATGTATGATTTGATTGTTAAAGAGTGAACCTGTTTCCCTTGCAAGGAAAGATTAGAACATGCACTGATCACACAAACAAAACTGCATTCATCGGGTTGGTGGCCCACACGCTGCATTTGCCTAAAGTAAGCAACAGCCTCTTCAGAAAAGTCATTGAAGAGGGAACAACCAGATATCATGGTGTTCCAAAGGATCAAGTCTGGATTGGGGATTTCTTGAAATACTTTTTTGCAATCCGGGATACCTTCTTTGCTGCATTTGGAGTAAAGATCAATCAAGCCACTACCAACATGGGTATTCAGGTGAAACCCCATCTTGATAAGGCGAGCGTGAAACTGAAGGCCACCAAGAAAGTCCTCCATGGATGTAAAAGCAGTTAAGACACTCGCTAATGTAAACATGTCCTCTTTTAACTCCAAGCTCACCATTTCTTGATACAAAGATAGAGCCTTGGACCCTACTTTATGTTGTCCATAAGCAACAATCATTGAATTCCAGGAGACCCCGTCTTTGATCTCTCCCATTGCTTCAAAAACTTTCTTGGCATCATCTAAATGACCGTTTCTACTGTAACATGTAAGAAGCGTGTTATTTACAGAAACAAATGCATCAAACCCGCCTGAAACAGCCAAAGAATGAAGCTGAAGAATCAATATCATATCATCACAAGAAGCTGTGATGGCTCCTGACAATGTAAAGGCGTCGATGTCCAGCCCCGTTCTTCTCAAGCCCAGAAATAGTTCAAGAGCAGGTACGGTGTCTCCACGATCAGCGTAAGCAGAAATGAGGGTGTTATAAGAGACAAGGTCTGGTTGGGGAATTTGATCATACAGGTCGTGGGCAGTGTGCGGCTGGGCTTCTTTGGCATACGCAGCAATGATGGCATTGTAAGAAAAGACATTGGGAGACAGGGTAGAGTCGAATGCCTTGCGGGCGTTGGAGAGGCAGCCGCATTTGGAGTAGAGGAGGATGAAGTGGTTGGAGATGTAGGTAGAGGGTGGGATGAGGAGGGATTTGATGTACATTGTGTGGAGGGTCTTTCCAGTCCAAAGGTCCCTCTCGGCTATGCATGTCTTCAAAATGTGGCGGAACTGTTGAAGACTCCACCACCCTTGCTTCATATAATTCGGGTAAAGCTATCCTGCTGTCATGACAATATGTACGTATTTATAGATAATAGAAATGTAAGATATGAAGTGTAGAAGGTTTTTTGGTGAAGCGAAACTTTGATTAACAATCGATAAAAAGAAGTAAGAATGTGTGTTTCAAATACTCCCTCCGGTTCTGAGAGATCTTTACACTTTCCATTTTTAGTAGTATCAGAAAGATCTTTACTCTTCCTTATTTGCCTTATTTAACAAATAAATCTACACAAAACAGTGTCAAACAGTGTTTATTTCTTTAAAAACTGTGAAGTCAGAGTGTCAAGACTCAAGATCTTTTGAAATCGGAGGGAGTATATGCGTACTATTGTCTTTATTTCAATGGTAAGGAGAACATTTTTAGTAATGGCCTATGTATGCGTCTACCATCTCCTTTGACCTATCATGCTCATGTAAGGGGATTATCTCACTGGGTACATTCATATCTATCTCCTCTGAGGTCATTTTTTTGTCCGTGAATCAGCGTGTTTTGTCTGTCACAGACAAAAAAATATCCACGGACAAGTTTTGTCTCTGAATCTCGTAATTCTCGTTAACAGACAAAAAATGACTTACCACAGACAAGTGTATAAGAATGTGCATAAGAGAACGTGTACAAATAGATTTTTTGTTATACTACTCACATTTGGTAAATGGAAATATTTGTAGTAGATTTCCTCGATTTTGAGTATAAAACATGTACTTAAATATGTGTCTACTATTTGTTTCGTGTGAACTCAAATGAGTATTTTTTACTAATGGCCGATAGTGAATGTTTACTATCAGTAAGGATGTTTTTACTTGGACTGTAATTCGTTCCAGACCAGACCAGACCAGTTCAGACCAGATCAAACTAGGATAGTTATAAAAATACAAAGAAACCAGATCAGACCAGACCAGACCAGATCAGACCAGACCAGCAAATTACAGTCCAAGTAAAAACATCCTAAATATATGTCTACCGAGAGTGCGTATACCGTGCAACCGGTATACGGTGAGCACCGTATACCGGGACGGTTTTATATTTTTTTTTTCCTTTTGTTTTTAAAAAATGGTTATAACTTTTTTATTTTTGATCCGATTTTTATAAAATTTATATCAACATTTTTTATTTTTCATGATCTTTCAAATGAGACCAATATTGCCTATGTAATTTTAACATATTAACATTTGTGTGTAAAATATGTAACTTTAAGTGTTAAAATATGTAACTCACGTTCAGTCAAGTCAAATGCAACTCGTGTGTATAAATATGTATCTCTACGTGTAACAATATGTAACTTTACGTAAAAAAATATGTAACTCGCATTTAGACAGGTCACATGCAACTCGTGTGTATAAATATGTAACTCGCGTGTATAAATATGCAACTTTACGTGTAAAAATATGTAACATTACGTGTAAATATATGTAAGTCGCGTTCAAACATGTCAAATGCAACTTTTGTGTATATATATATATATGTAACTCGTTTATAAAAAGATGTAACTTGCTTATAAAAAGATGTAACTCGCTTATAAAAAGATGTAACTTGCTTATAAAAAGATGTAACTCGCTCATAAAAAGATGTAACTCAATGTATTATCAAATGTAACTGAAGCCACTGATCCACTCCCAAACAGATTCGATCTTCTATTTCACAAACCTATCATCTCCCAAACAGATTCGATTTTTCTTATAATCCAATACTCATTAATATAATAGTTCGATAATTTCTTAAAATTACATACACAATATTGGTCTCATTTGAAAGATCATGAAAAATAAAAAATGTTGATATAAATTTTATAAAAATCGGATCAAAAATAAAAAAGTTATTACCATTTTTAACATCAAAAGCAAAAAAAAAAAAGATAAACTGCGTCGTTTTTGCAACCGGACGCACCATCCTCATGGTGCGTCGGTTGCACCATATAATTTGAGGTCTACCGATGCCTACGGTATATACCAATGGTAGTTTTAACTCCAAATATTGTTTATATTCAATGGTGTGTGTCCGGTGTCCACTATCTCCTCTAAACTACCATGCTCAACTAATTGCATTTCATTATGTACATTCAATCTATACTTTTTACCATTGCTAAAAGGAAGGCTTCTGTACTAAATTTCCTTGATTTTGTCATTTTGAGAGAAAAAATGTCCATCAAGTAAACGTATACTATAGGACTTCTCTCAATTCAAAAGAGTATTTTTTATCTTTTTCTCTACTTTTAACAGTTGGTAGAAAAGGAGTACGGTTTTTCTTTTCTTGATTTCCTTCATTTTGGAAAATAAGCATCCACTATTTCAATATCACTTTACTATTCAATGTTAATTCTAATGCACATTAGAACATAGTACATAATTATTGAAAATTATAGAAGATTTATTTAGAATTGCTAAATGTTAATAACATGAACTGGGCATTTTATAACTTAATAAATAGAAGGATGTCAAGAGATAACATTTTTTAAAGGCAGGAACAAGTTATTAAAAATTTGATGAAAAGCCATAAGTACTTGTACTGCAAATATTTGTGTGCTATTGTTTAGTGAAGTGTCTAATTCTCCAACAAATAGAAATCTTTTGCTTATGTATGCTTCTAGCTTGTGTTGGTTTTTTCGCTTTTGATGTTGTTGCCTTGTTGGTATCAGTAAATAACTATCAACTAATTTATTACGACTCTTTAATTTAATAGTAATTTCTGCAAACATTTAAACACGAGCAAACTCTCTTTGAAAGTCATGAAAGAGTCTTTTAATTTTTTTTCTTTACTTACCTATGGATTAAACACTCCCCTTGAGCACTGGTTTTAATCCTTTTTTTATTTTTAAATAATTTAGTCGCACGTGTTGGTTTTTTCGCTTTTGATGTTGTTGCCTTGTTGGTATCAGTAAATAACTATCAACTAATTTATTACGACTCTTTAATTTAATAGTAATTTCTGCAAACATTTAAACACGAGCAAACTCTCTTTGAAAGTCATGAAAGAGTCTTTTAATTTTTTTTCTTTACTTACCTATGGATTAAACACTCCCCTTGAGCACTGGTTTTAATCCTTTTTTTATTTTTAAATAATTTAGTCGCACGTGTTGGTTTTTTCGCTTTTGATGTTGTTGCCTTGTTGGTATCAGTAAATAACTATCAACTAATTTATTACGACTCTTTAATTTAATAGTAATTTCTGCAAACATTTAAACACGAGCAAACTCTCTTTGAAAGTCATGAAAGAGTCTTTTAATTTTTTTTCTTTACTTACCTATGGATTAAACACTCCCCTTGAGCACTGGTTTTAATCCTTTTTTTATTTTTAAATAATTTAGTCGCACGTGTTGGTTTTTTCGCTTTTGATGTTGTTGCCTTGTTGGTATCAGTAAATAACTATCAACTAATTTATTACGACTCTTTAATTTAATAGTAATTTCTGCAAACATTTAAACACGAGCAAACTCTCTTTGAAAGTCATGAAAGAGTCTTTTAATTTTTTTTCTTTACTTACCTATGGATTAAACACTCCCCTTGAGCACTGGTTTTAATCCTTTTTTTATTTTTAAATAATTTAGTCGCACGTGTTGGTTTTTTCGCTTTTGATGTTGTTGCCTTGTTGGTATCAGTAAATAACTATCAACTAATTTATTACGACTCTTTAATTTAATAGTAATTTCTGCAAACATTTAAACACGAGCAAACTCTCTTTGAAAGTCATGAAAGAGTCTTTTAATTTTTTTTCTTTACTTACCTATGGATTAAACACTCCCCTTGAACACTGGTTTTAATCCTTTTTTTATTTTTAAATAATTTAGTCGCACGTGTTGGTTTTTTCGCTTTTGATGTTGTTGCCTTATTGGTATTAGTAAATAACTATCAACTCATTTATTACGACTCTTTAATTTAATAGTAATTTCTGCAAACATTTAAACACGAGCAAACTCTCTTTGAAAGTCATGAAAGAGTCTTTTAATTTTTTTTTCTTTAGTTACCTATGGATTAAACACTCCCCTTGAACACTGGTTTTAATCCTTTTTTTATTTTTAAATAATTTAGTCGCACGTGTTGGTTTTTTCGCTTTTGATGTTGTTGCCTTGTTGGTATCAGTAAATAACTATCAACTAATTTATTACGACTCTTTAATTTAATAGTAATTTCTGCAAACATTTAAACACGAGCAAACTCTCTTTGAAAGTCATGAAAGAGTCTTTTAATTTTTTTCTTTAGTTACCTATGGATTAAACACTCCCCTTGAACATTGGTTTTAATCCTTTTTTTATTTTTATTACTATCATTCTTCTGACTGACTCACCGTGACTAACCTCCCCACCATCCTGTCAGGTCGGGTGGGGGGCTCCTGGGGTGGGAGATTCCACCTTTTTTGGAACAATATGAACCATGAAAGAGGCTTTCTATCGAACACTATGTAGTCATTTACTAAGTATCACTCCTAAAAACGACAATAAATGAATTAGGTCAATGGGATGAATAAAGTTAGTCGAATAGAGCTTGTTTTTTGTACTAACATATAAGATTGCATCAGAGATTTCCGAAGTTGTAAGAACTGTACTAGAAGAAGTAGAAAAAAAAATTAAAAGATGAAGTGAAAGGAATACCTTTTTTATAGACAGGGACCACCACCACCCGTCACCGCCTCCGCGGTCACCACCCCCACAACAATAACAATGGAAACAATAATGGCAACCCCAATAATAATATTAAAATAATTATCCAGGTTAATAGCTTCAACCCAACATCCAATCTTTGAGGGGTGTTTGGATGGTAAGTATCGTGATAGTAAAAAGAAAGAGTATTAATATAAGTACTTGGATTCTATGTCCTTAATTGGATTTGAATTTTTTTGTTTGGTCTGGTCTGATTTGTTTAAGCCTAGTTTGGTCTGGTTTGATATGATAGATGTTTGGTCTATGTGTATTTTACACTGTTAAAGACCGATGTGGTATATTTAAGTTTGGTATGAAGTTGAAATCAAATTCAAGTAAAAACATTCTTATGTCAGAGTTCAATCTCTTATTACTCAAACAATCATAGTTACACTAATTCGACACATCAATACACATTCGCTACAATGTAAAAATATGTAAATGCTCGCTAATAAATGCAACAAGCAACCCCTCAAATGGAGTTATGACTTATGAGTAGTATTTCACTAGCATAGGGTAGTTGGTGGGGGGAGGGTGACTATTCCTCATTGATTAGTCAAACATTTACACGTCATTCTACTGATTGAGTCACCGTGATTAACCTCCCCACCATCCTGTCGGATCGGGTGGGGGGGCTCCTGCCTCCTGGAGTGGGAGATTCCACCTTTTGGATTTTACAAAAAATTTTCAATCTTCTTTGGAGTTTTTTTTATCAATGTAGTAGACCGCTCTTTTTCACCGATTTGATAATTTGGCCCTTCTAGAACTAAAAAGGATGGGGACCAGGGTGGATGAAAGGTTTAAAAATAATACTACCTCGTCTCCTTAAGAGAGATGTGGTTATTAAAAAAGTAAAATTGTATCGATTTTTGAATTAATAAAATGTGAATGTATATACGGAGTATATACTACTAGGGATGGACCCAACCGGTTCGGCCCGGTCCGAAACCGACCCAGCCCGCTACTGTACGGGCCTGGACCGGCCCGGTTGGTGCTAACCGGGCCCAGGCTTTTACCTGATTGGGGCGAGTTGGGGGGCCAGGCTCAGGCCCTATTTTTCTTGAACCGGCCCGAGCTTTTTTTATTTTTATTTTTGGTTTTTTCATGTTTTTTGTTTTTTCTTGGTTAGGACTGAGTGTTTTGGGGGGGGTTTGAATGGGGTGGGTGCGGGGGGGGGGGGGGGTCGGGGGTTAATTAGAAAGCAAAAAACACATAGAATCGGGCCCGACCCGGACCAGCCCAACCCGGACCCGGTTTATACCCAGGCCGGTTCCGGGCCCTACTATTTGAAAAAAAGCCCGCTTAGGCTCGACCCAGAGCCCAGCCCAGTCCGGGCCCGATCCATCCCTATATACTACTCCTTTCATCCCATTATAATTATTCCATTTTTATTTTATTTTCGTCTCACAAAATTTGTCATATAACATATTTGATAATATTTGTGTGGATCTAATTCATTCTAGTTTATTCTTATTTTATTAATTAATTATCTAATATTTGTACAATTAACTCTACTTTTCTTAAAATTGTAAAGGTAGTATACAAAAATGGAATAGTCTCTCAACCATGGAATAATCCCGCATCTCCAACTCATCTCTGTCTAGTCTATTTTAAAAGTGCCAAATGTTAAAAAATTAAATGGATTTGTAGTCCACGAAATAAGACGTGGTTTGATCGGATAATGAAAGTTAAAAATCCTCTGCAATGCGTCACAAACTCTCGGCCCATGACAGATCCCACGTGGAATTTGAATTTGGCTTGACAGGTTAGCATGGTTTGGATGTGGGGAGCTTGGGAACTGATTAGACAATGGATCCATGCCAAATTGTACAACATGAATTAGAGTCCACCCCTAGACACCGTCATCAAAATAAGTTGATTATCTTCCGATAACTTTTTTACATTTTTTCTTTGACTTGGTATCACCTAGCGTTTGATCTACCAATGTCAATTTGTAATGTTCAGGCCTTCTGGTAAAATAAAAGTTTGGGGGGATCAAAAGCTGCTCAAGACAACTTGACTATGGACGGTTCCATTTTCCATCCGAATCCACGATTTTAGGGTGAAAGGATGCGGGGTGATCTCGATAATCCTTGAACCTCTATCCCAATTCCCATATCCGCCATAGCCGGTATGACGAGCATAGCACAACCACAACTTCTTGTAGGGGCAACACCAGTCCAGTCCATGGTTGTGGCCAACAAACAATGCCTGCCCAGTGGAAAATGAAGCAATAAAAAGAAAGACATTATTGTATCTTCTGCTATCATAAACATTTTGAGAGGCTAATCTGGACCCCCCTCCCTCCCCGGCAAACAAATAATGATTATGAACCATCATACAATCTTATATCAGAGATCAGATATGACTATCAGGCCATTTGGCACTTGGTAAAAAAAACTTCAAACTATCTCCTTTGTAATGATAAATTTTTAGTTCCACCTTACCATCAGAGAAGATCTTCCCTCAAGGAGCTCCATAATCCCCATTTCAGCTTCCTGAGCAGCAACTTTCTCTCCAAACATTGAACCTACACAGTTTTTGTGTAGAGAAAGTTGTGCACTAGCATCTTGATACTCTTGACTGGGTATATGCCAAAACATCAACTCTGGCACCCTGCAGGAGTGTTTTTCACTTTGCAAGAATTGCTATAATGTTATAATAGTGCAGGGATTTTTTTTTTTTGCATACAAATATGAAATATAGAACCCACATGAGGAAAGAATATAAAAACCATCGTTTCCAGGATCTGTTTCCTAGTGATTGAACTCGGTAAATATTAGGGAACAAAAATAGAAAAGAAAAAAGAAACAGAGAATATTTTGAAGAAAACAAAGGTGGGGAAAACTAAAATGTCCATCAAACTCATTAAATCAATTCTAGACATTTGTCCAACCTCATTTTATTTATATGTTTATATTATATAAAGGCTAAAAAATAACGTAAATGTAAAAAATTTAGGGAGTTGTAAATAAGTTGGATTTTCTTCGGAACATCAAACGCTAAAAACCCATTTTTCTGAGTACTTCTTTCTTTCATTACCATTTCCAGAGTTCCATACATGCCTAAACAGAAACTCTGCCAAGACTAAGCCATAGTCAGTTCCTTATTTCACAGTACCTTGCATCATGATTGAGCTCATGAGCCGTGTGGTTGAACCATTCCACCTGGGCTTTAGAGATAACCTCAGGGTATGAGCCACCACCAGAATCTAGGAAGTACATGTACACTACAGCAGACTCAGGGTCACTTGACAATGAAAGTTTAAGGACATAGTTGGAAACACTGGGCCACATATCCTTTCGACCACTTCTAGAGTGTGATAATAATGTGTTACACTCCACTTCGTTTTTTATCAAATCCAAGCGAGTTGTTCCCCTGAAGCTGCAATCTTCTTCATCTCCTAAAAAAGAAGCCAACCTAAGTTGTAGAGGTTCAATTTTTGCTTCAATGCTAAGCTTGTCTTGATATTAAAAAAAGTAATGAAAAACGTTTTCTGCATGTCCATGTGTTTGGCACATGAAAACCTTTAAAAGACTTTCCAATTTTAAGCTTTAATTTTGTGTCTGTGGGTCCTGAGATTATCTTATTTGTAGATCAACTTATTTTCCAGCAAAAAATTGTTTTTGATAATATTTTCACTGACAATTTATTGTTCTGTAATTAACCAGAGCCCAAAAGAAAATCAAAGGTAACCATAGACCAGACTAATCTCTACGCACTAAAGAAGAGGAAGAAAGAAACTATATGATCAAGAAAGAGGAAATGGTATAGTTCACCATTTAAAAATATCTAATCAATCTCCAGAACCATAATGTTTTTCCCCCTTTTAAAGATCCAACCATCATAACCAAAGGCAGGCCTAATAATTATCATGTTATAAGAGTTTCCTTCAAATTGTCTTACTAGAAGTCATATTCATATTATCTCACCTCTTATGTAAGTAAATAGAAGTTGCAGTATAAGTAGTTAAAAATACGGACTATGGACTGACAAGAATTCCAGGATTACATGGAATGTTTTACATAAAACATTACAACCTCCTTGCCAGTTACGAATGATCATTAACTAAAAGCGCATAAAGTTAAATGCTTACATCAGCAACTGTGTCATTGAATATGGCCTTACCAGGGTATGAATGGTTTTGTGGACACTGGATTGGAGGGACTCCAGAAGATGAAAACCATTCCATTGGCCACTCAAACTGCATATCGTCATGGTTGCCAAAAACACTAGCCCAAGGAATTCCTCTTGCTCTGGTAGGAGAGATTGCTTGGTCCCAATAAAAGCTAGCATTTTTTGTTGGTATATTATTTGCAGTGATGAGATCCCCCAGATAAATCACAAAATCTGTCAAAAAGTGTCTTGGTAGAGATATCACCGAGCACTTAGTTGTAAGTTACCAAATGGGTTATTCACACAATGCACTTATGAGCAATGTGATCCTTTCATTTTACCAGCAACATGATGTAAGGCCGCAAAAGAGGGGTTGACTTGTCCCATGTCAAAAAGAATTTAGTTATGATGGAAATTTAGTACTACCTCCGTCCCGGCTTAAGCTTCTCATTATAAAATACAACTGTTATTTAAATAGTAAATAAATAAAGTTAATCGAGCATATCTTGAGAAGTAGTTCTGGTAGGTATATAATATGATGAGGATACATGTGATTTTATAGGAGTATTATTTAAGAGTGTCAATTATTTCATAAAATAAAAATGGAAACTTTTAGCTGGGACGTCCAAAAGATGCAAGTGAGAAGTTTAAACTAGGGCAGAGGGAGTAATAAATAAACAATTAGAAATTGCCCAATATAGGAGTAAATATAAAAATAATTGCACAAATAGGAGTAAAACTTAAAACTTCCTTCAATAGGAGTAAACATTAATTTTGTACCCTTAATATCCCTAACCTAGTTAATTCTAAAATATGAATTATTTAATCCTAACCTAGTTAATTTATGACTTATTCGATAATAATAATTTATTTATTTATTTTTCAAAAAATAAAAAAATATAAAAGTTGTTGGGGCTTAGGTAGGGGTATACTTGTCCAAACACTAAAGTTACTCCTATTCAAAACATGGTACTCCTATTTTTGCATTTTGCCTATGTTTTGCTCCTATTTGGGGAATTCTCTCATAAACAATATCAAAGAAACAATTAAATATACGTGGATCTGGTAGCAAATACAATACAGAGCATCATTTACCATAGGCTGTTTAGAAACTCTTACAGATCAGCACTGTTTGGTATCTAAAGCATGTAAGAGCAAAGAAGGCCAATCCCATTCATGAATCCACAAAATTAACATTACCCTGTAGGAGTTGAAACAATTAATATTATTACAAACTGATAACTTTGATGACCTAATTTTACATAGAACACTAAAGTATTGAACCTATTCCCGGTCCTTTCACTAATCAAAGATAGTCAAGCCTCCCTTCGCTGTGACCCAAACGGATGCCTAAAGAAAGGCTGCTTTTCTATTCATTTTGGACTGAAGAATGAAGTAGCGAGCCATTAGTGCTTTCTTTCATGCTCTAGAGCTGTTGCAAGTCATTCTAATATGATAGTGAAGTCAAAACCTAATTCTTTTTAAGTTAGGATGGGAGTTCCTGCTTTCATTTACAGATTTACCTTTCCATTCATGTTTTTCTTTCAATAAGTTTACACAGGTGATTTGTTAAAAACAAAAATCTTGCCCCATAGCCTACTCAATCCATAGGCTAAGACATTCAAAAACACGAACAAGCAGCGTATGACTAGATAAATCATTCTGTACAAAAATCTGCACCCTAGGATGGTAAACAAGTCACAAGTGGTTTGGATTATTTAAACAAGTCAACCAATTTTATCTTTGAGTCACCATAAATTGAAGTACTTCTAAGCTGCAAACTAAAGTTCCATAGATCTCATACATCATCTAAGAGATTGTTACTCATTCACCTGGGTGTTCTTGATCGAGGATGGCAGACATTACTTTGACAGATTTTAAATCCTGCTGTGGGCCCCACTCTGTCCAGGCGTTCTCTCCAAAATGCAGGTCGGCGAACAACGCGATCTTGAACGGTGAGCTCGCCGGCACCTGGAGAGAATCTACCGGTTCGGTGGGCATAGTGATTTTCCGGCGAAAATGACGGGTGTTGGATCTGGGATCATGTGAATGGACGATGAGGATGAATCCGAAAATGAAGAAAAATATAGTAGTCCGGAAAGTGAAACGCTGCAGCATTGTGCGGAAAATAGTTCGAGCGCGGACTTCCAGGATGAACGATAGAACTTCGCTGATAGGTGCGGTCTTTGATAGATGCTCAGTCCAAGACGCCGGAGATTTGTGATTTGAAAATACTGTTTCTTTGTGTTCTGTGATCCTTTCGTCCTCCCGATCAGCGAAGTTCTGTTTATGCGGGTTCCTCCGGTAGAGTTCGGACTAAAACATAATGAAAATTCAGTTACTACCTTAATTTTTTTATCCTTATATACGACTATATTACTTCTACGTAAAAACATAATAAAATTACATACCCTTAATACCATTCTTTTAATTAATTCTTAAAAATTCTTTAATTTTCCATCATATTCTCTCTCCTTGCACGATCAATTAGCTTTCTCCTTGTGCGTAGAAATAGATCAACTTCTCTGATTCTCCCATGCAACTTCTCTTCATGCATCATAGTCACCCTTGAATTGAAGACGAGGGCAACCCCCGGCCGAATGCAAGGCCACACAAATTCTTGTTGGCCCTTCGGCACGTGTGGTGGAACCGAGACCCAATGATCTGTTACGATACGCACCTGAGGGCTGCTTCACCGTTCAAACTTTGTCAGTGGAGATGGGGCTCCGCTTTCCGCTCCACCCTTTCTTGCTGGAGTACCTGAGGTTCGTGGGTCTGGCCCCCTGTCAGCTAACGCCCAATAGCCATTCTTATGTGGCCGGTTATCTCTCTCTGTGCCGGAGCCGAGGGGTCCCACCTACCCTCGACCAATTTTTTTTGTCCTTCAACTTATGCCGGGGGGGGGGGGGGGGGGGGGGGGGCTTCGAACGTAGAGGGCTTTTCCAACCTGCAGCAACTCCAGAAGTTTAGGCTGTTTGATTACGTTCCTTCATCCCACAAGGGATGGAAGGATAAGTTTTGCTACGTCCGCTTGGAGGAGAACCCCTTTCCGGCCCCGCTTCGCAATAGCTTTCGGCGCCATCCGAAGGTAGGGAATGCAGCCCTCGAGAAGAATGACAAGATTCTCGCCAAGAAGCCGGAGGGGTCCGACAAGCATGTGAAGATCAAAGACGCCACCCTTCCGGATGAACTGTTCAAGCTTGGCTTCCGGTAGTATCGGCCGAGGGGTTCGGAGGATGAAAGATACCCTCCGATAGATCGTGTGTTCGAGAGCGTCAGAGGTGATTACCAATGGATTATCTGTTTTGTACTTAGAAAATCTTTCTGCTTTTTTGTGCAGTCCATGTCACCGCAGTTGATCCCCTTCGGCCTAATCATTTTGTGTCTTGTCTTTGCAGGTAACAATATGGATGTGAGCTCCCTTTTTGCCCTGAAGAAGATGAAAGGGAAGAAGAAGGATCCCGTGGGTCCGAAGCCGGTGGGTGCTTCCACCGGGGAGGAGCCCTCCCAAGTTGATGCCGTCGGTGCTGGTGCCGGGAGTTCCAAGGGCGAGGGGGCCCTAAAGAAAAAGAACAATGGTAAGGGGATTGAGCCCCCGACCAAGAAGTTGAAGGCCGCGGACTCCGGCAAGCAGACGACCGCTGATGTCATTGTCATCGTGGACGAGGGGCATGCCTCCGGCCCCATCCCTCAGGAGTGTACCCACCAAGACTTCTTTGGCCGGGAGAAGCTAGAGGCAATTGTGCCGAAGGGGGCCTCGATCCCGGAGGGTAACCTCGTGCCTTCGGCCCTAATGAGCCAAATGATGCCTTCGGCTGACAGGCTGGCTCTCGCCCGGATGAATGATGAGGGCCTCCAGTCGAGGATCCTTCAGAATAGTGCCTCCGTGAGTTGCCTTTCCCTATCATATTCATTTTCTTTTGGGGGGTAATGTATGTACTGTGTCTGACCCCTTACACTTTTATTGTTGCCGACCTTCATGGGACTTTGTGAGTATCTCCGGAGGGTCGATCATATGATGGAGGTCAGGAGTGCTGCTGAGGAGGAAGCTGTTAGCCTCAGAAAGAAGCTGGCTGAAGCCGAGGAGTCCCTTCGCCTAGCCACCGAGAGCATGGAAGAGCGAGTGCGGGCTGCGAAGGCTGAACGCAAGAGCGAGGGCCTGGCTGAGGCTGGGGAAGCAGTCGCCGAAGCCGCCCATGTTGCCGCCGAGGAGGCTGAGAGGGCAAAGGCCGGGGAGGTAGCCAAGGCTCGGAAAGCTGCTGTGGAGGCATTCATGACCGGGGGCTGGATGGCCGAGGACAAGGAAGACTGGGTGTCCTCGGTTGTGGAAAAGAAGGTAGATGCCTGGGTCGGAGGTCCCAGCAAGATGTGGCTGGCGGAGAGGGGCGACTCTTACTACCAGGGCGGGGAGTTCTTTACTCAACGCCTCATTTACCGGAAGCTGGCCCAACACTTCAACGTGTCCCCGGTGGACTTCAAGCCGGAGGCCTATGGCCTTCCCCCTCGGCAGCCAGACGTCAGGGTCCCCCTCCTCGAAGGCGAAGAGAGGCCGGTGCTAGAAGATTCTGATACCTTGAGGGAGTGTGGCCTCGTTGGTGACGAAGATGATGCCGAGGGCGGCGCCACTTCCAAAGCAGCTGATGAAGGAACCGCTCAGTAATTTGTACTTGTAATATTTTTGAATTTGTAAAAACATTATGTAGCTTTCGGTCGGTGTGACAAACACTTAGCATTGACCTCATTTTCTTCTATATATGATGCCCTCGGGCCTTGTGATGCATGGATTTGCTTTTTCTTTCGATGAATGCCTTTTGTGTTATTCACTGCTTTGTTTCGCTTTATGCATGAATGTATGTTAGGTCAAACGTTTGGTCGGGGGGCCAACATTTAGGACTTAGAAATTTTTTTCAAGTGTTTGTTCCGTGTTAGGCCTCCGGTCGTTGTTTCCTTTTTGATCTTTTGTAACTTGTTCTGGGTTGACCGGGGGCCAAAATTTAGGACTTAGAAAAATTTTCTAAGTGTTTGGTCAGCAGATCTTCGGCCGATGCTTCCTTCTGAACTTGTGCTTGTTCGGTGGCCCTTCGGTTATTGGACCCCCCTCGATTGCATGATAATTTGACTGAGGGCCAAGCATTTTAGACTTAGAAATCTTTCCTAAGTGTTCCTTGTTACCTGGCCTTCGGTAAATGGGACCTTTTGGATTGTAGCATTTGTAGGTAAGACCCCCCTCGGCAGAGGATGGCGGTCCCGGGGGCACCCAATTTTGTGGACTTAGAACAATTTCCCTTGACTTGTGAGTACTGGCCTCCGGTAATGTGTAGTAGATACCTTCTCTCCTTGGGTAGCATATGAGCCTTCGGATTTGGTACATCCCAGAGTGTGGACTTGGGAATTTTGTAGTCCAACCATAGTATGATAAAGACAGATGCCCTCAGGCGATGCTCTGGAGTATTCCCTCGGTGTTGCCTTGAAACGTCGGGGGCAATTGCTGTTTGGACTTAGGAATTTTACCCCTTGTGTGGGTTTGGAGCCTTCGATGTTAGTTGATGCCGGGGGCAACCAGATTGTGGACTTAGCCACATTTTGGTAATGTTTGTTGAGTAGTGGCCTTCGGGATGGGGGCCATCGCCAAGGGTGGCTTCTGAAATTAGTAGCTTCTGGATATCGGTGGTGTCCCCACGGGAGCCCTCGGTATGATCTTTTTCCTTCGTAATGATAATTCTTGCTGGCTGTCGAAAGGTGCACATTTTTGGAGTATGTACTCATTGATTGCTCTTTGAGTCTACTCCCATTCACCCGTTTTTTTTTTGGGGGGGGGGGAGATGGTGAAGAGAAGGCTTTAAGAAACTTGGTTTCGTGGTAAGGCTTGGCCTATTGGGAGGCAACAGTATACACCATTGGCTTCCCCCTCGGGGTTAACCTTCCGGGTTCCGAGGGGATCGAGGGTCATTTCCTCGGTACGAGACATAGTCTGTTGCCTGCCTCCCCTTGGGGGATGGCACGGAAAGCGCCTCAGTTTTGAAAGTCGTCCCCTTAGCACAAGACATATTCTATTGCCTGCCATTCCCTTAGGGTAATGGTGCGGAGAACGTTTCGTTTTTGAAAGTCGAATCTTGAGGCATATTAGTTGCTTGCCATTCCCTTGGGGTAATGGTGTGGAAAGCGTTTCAGGAAGGGTTTTATTTGCATATTAGTTTCAAAAAGGTCGGGGTACTTGGTACCTTCGACGTCGATAGGTGGGGCCTTCTGCATAAATGCGTCCTCGAGGGGTACGGCTTCAAAAATAAAACTTGGTGTTTTATTTTTGTACACACCCTTGATACTTGGTACCGAGGGGTCTTTGTTAAAAAACACTTGGTGTTTTCTTCATGGTCGAGGGTGATGGAGTATATGGGTCTAGGCCCCAGGACCCACATACTCAGAAGAACAGAAAGCACAGAAAGCACAGCCACCACGTGGTGCCCTCGTCGGCCAGAAGACCCTCGACGGCCTAAGAGGGACCAACTCAGAATATGGTCCTGAAGCCAGGGAACCAGGGTGTCCTCGTCGGCCGCGCCCTCGTCGGCCGTGCCCTCTTCGGCCAAGACCCTCGTCGGCCACGGAAGTCTCACAGAACCGGGTTTTACACTTATTCGTTTGTACAGCCCACTAGTGGCTTTGTATTCGGCCCAATAGCGGTCCAGTTGTAAATGGGCCTCCCAAGCCCAAGGCTTGGGAGCCCAGCCCGTATTTTCCCTATAAATACTTCCTCTGGAGGTAGTTATCAGGGTTACAAAATCATTCTATTGAAGCATATATCGCACTTCTCTCTCTAGCTCTCACTTCTCTCTAGACATTTACTCTATCATTTGGTGCTCTCGTTGAGAGCTAGAACAATCAAGTTAGCACTCTTCGTCGCTATCAAGCATAGCTAACCACTGACCATGGGAAGAACTAAGTCAAACCGCAACCTCGTCAGCAAGGCCATCCCTGAGGACCAGGAGACCAGGGAGCACGAGGAGGATGCTACGGCCGACCAGGTCGGCGGAGGGGACGTCTTCCAGGAGGCCATCAACCTCACGACGGACCTCCGCAACCAACTCAACGGCGGAGCCCCTGATGCCCGCATCGGCTTGGACAAGAAACGAGCTGAGAAGACAGACCACGCCCCGGCCCAGCCTATGACCGCGGCCTCTCCGTCTGTGGATCCACAGGTCCAGGCCGCACTATCGGTCATCATCGCCAGCTTGGCCCAGAACCCCACCGTCCTCAGCGCTCTCTTGCCAAGGACCGGGGGGAACGTCA